CAGAACAAACGCGGCTGCTGGGGGGGGGGGGGGGGCGCGCAACTAGTGCGCCCCCCCCCCAGCAGACCAGGGACACGGGGAGCAAAGCTGCAGCAGCATGCCGTGCCTCTGAGGCTTTGCTCTGGCAAAGCCTCAGAGGCGCGGGACTCCGCCGCCGCTGCGGCTTTGGTCCCGGTGTCCCTGGTCTGCTGGAGACGGTCCCCAGCAGACATGGGGCATCCGGAGCAGCTTTTCTCGCCCCGGAGGTTGAGGTGGCAGGACCGCTGCGCTCTGGGCGGTCCCGCTACCTGCGAGCTCCGGGGCGAGAAAGCCCCGTTCGTAAGTGCGGATCCGATGTAAGTCGGATCTGCGTAACTCGGGGACTGCCTGTACTTTCATCTAGTGCCTCATGGAAGCAGTAGATCCCCTGACATTACCTATAGACCAGGGATGTAAGAGTGTAGTCGATTATCCAATAAACAAAAGCTTATAGGTCCATGCTACAGACCAGTGTCTCTCAACCTTTTTTTTGCTCATTGTCCCCTTCTGAGCCTCATTTACCTCTGTGGCCCCCCTCATAGCCGCTGTTAGTTGGAAAACAAGGTCCATAATTTACCTAATGTTCCGTTTTTTCCATGTGGCCCCCTAGAGGTAGGGTGTGGCCCCTGTGTGTCCCACAGTTGAGAACCACAGCTATAGACTACACACACGCATTTCCCTCCCCCACACTTGCCAGTACATTTTTTAGCAGGCTTGCGCTGGGTGGCTCAGACTCCCCCTGTACACAGCAGCAACTGCCATCCTGCGCTGCTTCCTCTTTATCAGAGGCAGCAGCAGAGGGTGACAGTCAGCCAGTCCACAAGGGGAGCTGGTTTTTAAACTGGCTCCCCTTGCAGATCAGCTGGCGCCCCGCGCTGCTCTGAGACAGAGGCAGCAGCGCAGAGTGGCAGGGGACTCCTCGGGAGTGAGGCCAGAGCGCACTGGCTGCCAGCCCTGCCCCTGGGGACTATAGAATAGTCAAATAACTGATAAGAATTAATAAGGTTACTCGACTATTCAATTAACCGATATTTAACATCCCTACTATAGACATGAGGACTGGAAGTACTCTACTAGAATTAATATCTACAAGAGCTTAAAATATTCAAACAAGAGGGTCTCAAAATATGTACTGAAAACTTCATTGAGCTAAAATTCTATAATAAACACACTATAAACGTAGTTCAACTGTCCTGGCTAGAGTCACAAGAAACATTTTTATGCCCACCTCGTCTTTCTAATTTTACAACCTGCCAGGAATGAAGATGGTAATGTGGGTTGACTCGACATGGGCTACATTTCTAGTGAGTCAGTTTATCAGTTATGACTAGGACTGCAACTACTATAGCAACACAGTTATGACATTCTCATGTTCCTTTTTTGAATTTTAAGATATGCCAGCTTGTTTTACACAGTCCAGTTCATGGGCTGGAGTAACAAGTATACTTAGGGAATTACATGGCAGGGTTATTAGTGATTATTGTCTGGAAAAACAACCTGCCTTTCATCTCACTCGCAAGTACCCAGGCACCATATCTGTGATTTGCTCTGAGACGATCAAAAACCCACCTGTAACATGCAGTGGGGCTCTCTACTGCACAGTGGCTTGGGGGAGAGGAACTGCATATCAGATCCTCTTTTTAAAGCTACAGAAAACTGGGACTTTACCAGCAACCCTAGAAAGAAAGCTGGAGAGAGCGCAGTCCTTCTAAAAGTCACCAAAGCAGATCACATGTTCTGGTAGACTCCTAAATGATACAGTAAGGACCTTATAGAAATGGCTGTTCATATTTGGCACACTCAGCCGCTCTGACCACTAGTGACTACAGCCAATGGTCTATGCTTTCCGCGGGTAGAAGAAAATGATAGGACAAGATTCTCACACCAAAATAAGGCCCATTATAGATCTGTCCTCAAGATTTTAGGAGTTATGTGTCTAGAATATCAATTGTAAAGCAGTAAAACTGGAGACATAATTTTTATTACTTATATTAGCTGCTCATAGGTTACTGCAAAGTTGATATCAAGAGTTACTAATTAGTCAACCCTAACGTTCCCGTATAAATCCCTGCTGAGACTTTAAAATCTAAGATTACAGTTTTATAATCAGTAAACAAAACCAGTGCTGCTTTTGACACAAAAGTTGATATTCAAAAGTAATTTCCTCTGCTGAGGAGTGCTTTATCATCATTCAATTTCTAAACCAATTTCCTTCTTTGCTAAAAATCCTAAGATAGGAAACTCACATGTGCATCTGGCTTTGAAGACTCTTGAATGTCTCTGGACTGTGTTGACTAGTTCTTAACATCCTTAGTCTGCGCTACAGCCTAAGCCCCAAAAATCCCCTTCCACTTACACACATCCGTTGGGCTTGGGCCCAGGTTGTAGGACCCCACAAAGTTGAGCAGTTCAAGCCCAAATCAAACCAGGACCCAGGGTTTAAGCTTTATTTTGCACGACAGACACAGCCGCCAAACCACCTCCCAATATCATTTTCCATATACAATATAAATAAGTGTCAAATTTATGGAAGAGACTTACCTCTCTCCTGTTCTGAGCTCTTGCAACCCTGAGCCTTCGAGCAGAATAAAAAATGAAGTAGCCCACAGTTGCTGCTGTGACAATGAAAAACGACACTGAGACGAAGAAGATTGAATAGTGATTCATCCAAGGTGCATGCTTTTTCCCTACTTCAATAACCATAGTCACTTCAAAGCCCCTCTCAATCTGGTGCATGATGTCCATGCCTTTCAGATTGCTGATCATAATTGCAACAATGTCTCCTGCCCCTGTAAAGAGAAGAGGAAGCTATTTTCAAATTATTGTACAGCAGAAGCTATTGAGTCAAATCTTTCAACAGTGGTTTCAAGTTGCTTCACCTTGGATACTAGAAAGAGTAAAGCCGCAGTCTCCAATGGACCATGTGAATATTTGACGTTAGCCAACAGTTGGTGAGTCTTATATTTTAAATATTATCTTTAAAGATAGGTTAATGCTTCAAGGAAACTATTTGTTACCCACAAACTAGGTGAACAAGTCACTTAAAATAATTACATAAGGCACCTTTTTGACATGGAATGCTTAAATTACTGTTCTACACCTGGAGCAATGGAGTGTACTATGGAAGTGTGTATTTTGATCTGTACCTTGGAACCACAATTTTGATTTATGTCCCAAGGAGTCACTATGATAGGTACCTATTTCTCTATGTGGTTTTAAAGCTCTATGAAATGCCATGTTCATGACAAAGTCCCATTCTAAGAGCTTACTGATTTCCTTGTTCTGTGGCTGCTTTTCTTACACTTCCATCCTAAGTTTGGTAATACTACTGAAAAAGATTTATTCAGACAGAAAAAGTAAGATCAAGTTATGCCTACAACAAATCAAATCAGAAAGCTGTTAGGAGTTATTTTTGCACAAATGCTAGAAGTCTTAATAAGATGAGTGAATAGGAGTGCCTGATATTAAATGAGGATATTGATCTAACAGCCATTGCAGAAACTGCATGGAATGATGACAATCAATGTGACATTTTTACCATGGAAAGATGGAACAGGTTCCTGCTGGTGGGGGAGTAGTACTCTCTGTGAGCAAAAGCATAGTGTCAAATTTAGTAAAAATCTAGACTGACAAACTCCACCACGGAATCTCTATGGACAGAAATTCTGTGTTTTTTAATACTAAGACTACAGCAATAGAAATAGACCAGCAACCACCTGAACTGGATGACGACTGCGTAGTATTCAGGGAAATTAGAAACAATAAAAATAAAACAATCATAATAATCAGGGCTTGACAAGCGGCAGTGAGCCCCGCTCGCCAGCCGCGCGCTTTGGCGCGCAGCAGTGAGCCCTGCTCGCCAGCTGCGCGCTTTGGCGCGCTGCGCATACACTGATCACGCTGTGGCACCGTGCCGGGCTAAAATCTACTCGCCATGGGCGAGTAGACTGCTGTAATTGTCGAGCCCTGATAATAATAAAGGAGGATTTCAATTATTTCCAAAATAATGTAATCTACTCACCTGTGGCGAGTAGATTACAACCCGGAAGTGCCAGTGCAGAGCAATCTGTGCATGTACAGAATGGCGCGAAACTGCACGGCTGGTGAGCGGGGCTTGCCACCGCTTGGCAAGCCCTGATTATTTCTATATTCACTGGATACAAGACATTTAAGGACAGGATGCAGAAAGTTTCTAGATACCATTAAAAATTGCTTCTTGGAGCAGCTAGTCCCAAACCCACAAAAGGAGAGAGGCGATTCTTGATGTAGTTTTAAATAGACCATGTGATCTGGTCCAAGAGGTGAAAACAGCCAAACCACTCACTATGTATTTGAATTTGTCTGTTTGGTCAAGAACTCCTCCTAACTGGTAAGCTCTTATCATAGCTTAAAGCAAGGTAAGGGGGTTTGGCTGCGTGGGAAGCTGAAGCTTCCCCTCGCCCCGATTCATATCGGGCTGCATAAAACCATACAGAAGAGACACAGAATTACCAGGAAGGTGAAAGGAGCTGGCTGGATGGCACCCCACTCTGTCCAGGACTGCCCCAGTCCTGAGCCTCCCACCCCCACGCAACCTTTAGGAAGGGCAGGGGAGCTGTGGCTCCTCCCCGTCACCCGATTCGTATGGGAACATTGCTGACTGTTCCTCTTCATCAGGGAAGCGAGGGAAAAGTGCTGCATTCTTTAATCTGGCTGGGAAGTACAGGGGCAGAGGACTTGGAACTGCCCCAGCTAGGGAATGCACTACTCCCCCAGATGTGCTCCCTGGAGCTGCAGCGGCCAGGAAGAAGCACTTCTTACCTGGCCCCAAGCTGCTACAATAAAAGAAGGCTGTAGTAGTGTTCTCGCCCCCACACAGCCTGCATGCTGAACCCTTCATTCCCAGCCCCACCCTAGAGTAATGATTTAAATGAAGAAAAACAAATTAAAGACCCAAGCAATACTGGGTAAATCTTGCAGTAATATAATTAACTTTAATCACCTTTAGGGTTGGGAGGGCATAAAAGAAGCTGACCACAGTAGCATTAAACTTCAGGAAAAATGAGGAAGCTAATTACATGAAAATTAAAAGAATGAAACACCTGCCACCTGGCATGGCCACATGTATTTAAAAGCATCATGAGAGTCTCAAATGAAATACAGACCCCAAATTAAAGTGACTGGTAAGAGGACCAAAAAATGCCACCGTGACCAAACAGAGTAAAAGCAGTGGTTAGAGGCAAAAAGCCATCCTTTAAAAACTGGATGTCCAATTCTAAGAAAAATAGAAGCATAAACTTGTAGATTGTAGAAGAGGAGGGAAGGGAAGGGAGAAGAATTAGTGACAATTGCTCCCTTCTTCCCCCTCCTCCCCAAGTAGCCAGAAGATTTCTGCTCAATCCCCATTGAGACAGACACTATTACCAAACCTTACTGTCATTCAGGATGGCTTAACAAAACTCTTTGGAATAGAACTATTACTACTACATGAGGAATGGCGATGCACAATTAAGCCTTGTCTACACTATGCGGTGGATTGACACTGCAGCAATTGATCCACCATCTGTCGATTTATTACATCTTTGATCACCATTCCATTGCCACTGGTACTCCACCAAAACAAGAAGAATCGCCGTCGCTGATGGGAGAGCAGCCCCTGTGGACCTTACTACACACAATACACCGCGGTGAGTATGTCGACTTCAGCTATGCTATTTGCACAGAGGAAGTAGACCAACGGCACTGATAAGTGCAGACGAGGATTTGGATTCCTTTCATGCAGAGAAGTACTGCTCCTTCAGTGTGCTGGCTTTAGATAGACAACTCAAGCTCACACTAGCAATTCAGTACAAGAACCACTGAACTTGTTTGGAACTGCAACTTTGAATGCACTTGCTCTGTTAGTACTTGGGATCTTGTGGAAATCACTGGAAGATGTGCTACCAGTGTTAGTGTAAGACAGTTACCATGTATTAGCACAACCACCTTTCACAGTGACAAACTTTTTTTAATCCTTCTCAGACATTTGAAGATATTATTTAACACAAAGCGAAAAGTTTAAGTTCTAGCACTGTTGTGCCCTGCACCATTAGTGTTGCAGTTTACCTATACAATCAATGCAGTTTTTCAGAAAAGGTGCCAAAAAGGAACCTACTGTTATTCTGTTTAAAATCCACCCAGTCTCATTTTTGTAATGACTATCCCTTTGAGATAATTTCTGCTTTGTCAGGCATGCTTTCCCTCGAGAGAAAAAAAAAAGGAGTTGCTATAGCAGTGCACTTTCCATGTTGAAAGTTCTGCTGTCTCCAGTGCAGACTTCTACAAAA